CACACACACACACACACACACACACACACACACACACACACACACACACACACAAACAAACACACACACACACACACAGACACACACACACAGACACACACACACATGCGCGAACGCGCGCATGCAGAAAAAGAAGAAAAAAAGCGCATAAACATTGATTAACCATGAGGTCACCGACTCAACGCGCATAGATGGATACGTGCATACAACAAAGAGGAGGGAGCAGTTGTGGTCATTCCTCTAGGACTCCATCAAGCCACCCATCCACGAGTGTGACCATCAGGCATTCACCCTTCCTGTATGCTACCTTCTCCTCCGAAACATAACGCACCCCATCATCACAACCGTATCGAAACCCTGCTCTGGTCCAAAACACAGTCATGATGCTGGGGCATTATGTTTGGGAGAAAGAAGGTAGGCCATCCATCCTTACATGTGACTATCAGGCATTCTGCCTTGCTGTACACTAATAGCCTAGTCCACACGCGGGGCTCAGCATAGGGTTGGGAGTGGCATAGTCCATGCTCCTTACCAGGAGTGGCAGGAACTGAAAAGTTGTCGCAGTGCCCCGATGGTACCCGATATGTTCACGAATTCACATGGGCGTCATCACAATTGATGAAATTGTTGCACCTAGGCCAATCGCTAATGTACATGCTGCCCAGCACATATGTGGCCAAAGCTTCCTAGCACATATACATGGTCAACGCTGGCCCAGCCACCGGACGGTCAGGGTGACGTGACTACGGCATACATTTTCCCACAGCAGGAAATGTACCAGAAATTTTGACAAGTCACAGTCATCCGACATCTTTGTCAGGAATCTGGTGAAGGGATACTTCAACCATGTCCCAGGCAACTAATATTCTGGTTGGTCAGTTAAAGTTGTCGTTAAACATCTTTGCCACGACCGTCTTCACCCGAATAGAACGCCCGGTTATCATCGCTGTATTTAGACTGGCAGTTGGCCCAAATACAGCTATAATGACCGGGCGTTCTATTTGGGTGAAGACGCTAGTCGGATCCCACAGGGACACGGCTGACCCCACAAGGACACTTGACAACCGTGTCCCAGGCAACTAGGTATTAAATAGTAAATACTAAATAGCCTTTTTTAATGAAAATGAATGAATACTTTCCAAAGAGGTATCCACCAAGCCCTACGAAGTCCACCTGCTGCTTGGGGCTCCCCACATAGCCTTTTCATCCCGAAGGACTTCCAATATAAGTTGACGACTAGAGTTAAGGAGGTGAACACGGCGCCTAACTCCGGTACAAGTAGGCCAATCTAAATAATATACTTACTAAATACTAAATAGCCTTTTCTGAAACTGGACAAATACTTCCGAAAGAGAGATTCAAAGCCTAACCAGTCCATCTGCTGCTTAGCAAGCTCGCAGTGAGCTTCCCTCAAGCTTCAGGCGATCGAGATGCAAGGAAAATGAGCAATGTGAAGTACAGAAACCAAGTTGCATCATCCCATTGAAAGCCAGAAAGTCATGTGCTCGATCAGGGAGCAGAATGCACCAAAATATACACCAAATAAGAGCAAAGCAAGGAACTCAATTGACAAATGTAAGCACCTTTATGGCGCTCTTCTATATGGCGCTCGGTGCCCAGACTACAATCAGACAGCACACCTAGACTAGCCTATCAACCTATGACGATAACAGGTCTTCACGGAGTGCAGCTGCCAGATGACGAACGAAGACTTCGGCTTGGCCGACCATGCCCACCATCACTAGGTATGTGCCATCTCCCCAGCGGCCTGGCTATGGCCACCGCTTGGCCTCGCTGCGCCCAGCAGCTTCTTGTGCGCCCCACCAGCGTCCTCTCACCCCCGGCTCTCTTCCAGCACATATGCTCTCGAGCGTGCAGTCCAGCAGCACTCACACCAGCCAGCCAGTGGCAAGAATGAGGAAGTGCCTGGCTGTACTTTCCTTTTGTGCAGATGCTGGCTGGCCGTGGCAGCTTCAGGACTGCGCGACCTCTGTGCCAGTAGCCGCACCCATGGGCCCTTCCAGAATGCGCCTGGGGCTAAGGGTCCAGGGCCTCAGCATATGTCTGGGCTCCAGCTTCTGCAACCGATCGGGCCAACAGGTCAGTTGCAGATGCTGTATGCAGCAACCGACTACGGGGATAACCAACCCACGATGGCCTCAATTCTGGAGGCTTTTTTGGAGATGCTGGCTGGCGGTGGCAGCTTGAGGACTGCGCGGCCTCTGTCCGAGTAGCTGCGCCCCTGGGCCCTTCCAGAATGTGCCTGGGCTCAACTGTAAGGGTCCAGGAAATCAGCATATGTCCGGGCCCCAGCTTCTGCAACCGATCGGGCCTACAGGTTGGTTGAAGACGCTGTATGCAGCAACGCAAGATGGCCGCGACCAGGGCCCTCCCAGAATGTGTCTGGGCTCAACTGTAAAGGTCCAGGGCCTCAGCATATGTCCGGACCCCAGCTTCTGCAACCGATCGGGCCTACAGGTTGGTTGCCGTCGCTGTATGCAGCGACCCACGATGGCCTCAATTCTGGAGGCCGTGACCAGGGCCCGCCTTCAATTAGGGTGAGTGCAGGACAGTTACAACCAGGGTAAGTCCTTTTCCCAGCGGGCTCAGGGCCCTTAGACAGACAACCTGGCCGAGGGCCTTATGCCTTGCAAAGACATCTTTCAGTCAAAAGAAAATAAAAAACAGCAATGTCAAGTTGTCAACTCTGTCAAGGTTTTGCTTGCCGTTGGCTCAAGCCTCAATGTGTGTGAAAAAAAAAAAAAAAAGCAGTTCAATATTGTTCTGTTGCTATCCCTTAAGTGGTTGTTCATAACTCCATATGCTTCTTCTGTGCTGCAAAGTTATGTTACTTCGCTCACTATTTTTTTTTCTTTCCAACCAACGCGCAGTACCTGGACTTCCCAGGATGTCACCCATCATATTCCTTTTCTGGCCGGCGCTTCCCTTTCGAGTCCAGACGGGATCGGCCGCATCAGGCATTGACTGTAGCACATAAATACTTGGGGCCGTTTCTCCCCTCGTGCGCGCGATTCAATCCAGGGCCCATGCTGATCTGCGCGTTACAGAGTTCCGCTACCCCACCCACTATCTTCTTCCTGCTTTTGGTATCATATCTTGTTGCCATTCCCATGTCCCTTTTGTGTGCAAAGTTATGTTACCTTGCCCACTCCCCTCCTCCCCCCCCCCCACCTCACTGCTTTTGTTTTCATACCTTCCGTTTAACTATCAGATCAAGCATGTGCCTCAGCAGTGTGGATCTCCAATGATATTATTAATTTATTTAATTTTATTAGGCAAATGCTGGGCAGGAAAAAAACAGCAGAAACGAAGTGTAACAAACAGAAACATAAAATCAAACAAAAAGTGCTGCGCAGCAGTGCAATGTGCTAGTAGCTCAGTGTTGGGAAACCTTAGAGGATTCACACTGCACGCCAAGCTTTGCTGAAATGCCAGCGCTGAATTTTTGTTTTAGTTTTGGCTGGCATCGCAAGCCATTTTGGTCTGGTTGCCCTGACCGTATGATATTTTTGGAGAGACTCGCTCAATCATGATTCTCAAGTTGGCTGGGGCATATGTACTGGTGGTTTAACTCCAAAAAAAACACAGCAGCAGTAACTTAAAGTTACTGTTACACCCAGCGGTGAGTTAAAGTTACTGTTACACCCATCTTCCCGGCGCAACACAATGCACCGTGGTCATTAATGTACACAAGAGCACTGACAACTTGTGACAAGCTCTTTTTTTCCTGTCCCGTCTAGCTATAATGAGGGTGAGCTGTGTTCAGGAGAAGAAGGGAGAAAAAAACACCGGTGGCTTGAACTCCAAGTCTCCAACTCCAAACATGATCCAATGAGTATACACTGCATTGAAAGGCGCATCGCTGCATACCATGCAATCTCAGAGAGCTGCCAGATCCTGAACTTGGACAGATTTGCATAAATGAGCTCTTGGAAGACACTGAGGACATCTTCATCAACGTAATTCAACCGAGCGAAGGCAATTACCTGCACAAGGAAAGCGGCCACTTCGTTTAGTCAGCAGCTGCTGCTCTTAGGCAGCTATCAATTCTTCTACTCACAGCTCTTACCGGAAACTGACACTGCTTGACGTGCTCATCTTCATGCAGTTGGAAATGCGACTATGCGTGTGTGTACGTCATGTGGACTTTGTCAACAATTACTGTACTGCTTTCACAGCAGCCTACCGTCTTCACCCAAATAGAACACCCGGTCATTATATCTGCACTCGATGCAACTTTCGGTCCAGATACGGCCACAATTACCAAGCGTTCTATTCGGGGGTGAAGACGGCAGTCACTTCTTCCAGTCATCTCTCTTATCCAAACCTGAAACTGCTTGACGTGTTCATCTGCATGCAGTTGGAACTGCGATTGTGCGTGTGTGTACGTCATGTGTACTTCGTCAACACTCGTACTACCGTCTTCACCCGAATAGAACGCCCGGTCATTATAGCTGTATTTGGTGCAACTTTCAGTCCAGATACGGCAATAATTACCAGGCGTTCTATTCGGGTGAAGACGGTAGTTACCAAAGGAGCGAAGCACAATTCCGAGTATCGCGGTACTATTGTACTGCTTTCACAAAAGCCTAACACACCAGTCAAGCACAGTGGTATAGGTTGCAGGCTTGCAGCACTTCCACAGAAATTTCAAAGAGAAGGAGAGAGATTGACTGTCACAAGCAATATATTCAGGACGAGTTCGTAATTCGTTTTTACTACGAGATGCATTGGGATCAATGAATTCTCCTTGGTACCACCATGGAGTTGTTTCTCCAATTCCCACGATCTCAAATTTCATTGAATTGTCTCCTCTCCTTAACGTGCTTAGGTCCTTGCATGAGTACCTTCTCCGGCAATCAATCTAATGCCCCGCAGATTCTCAAGCCAGCCTCCTCCGAAAACCCAAACCAACAGTGCTCCAAGCTCCGAATACTAGAAGGTGCGAGCAACAAGCGTGAAATTTGCTAACTAGGGTACTAGGGCAAGGGGTTTCGCAGACTTACCATGGAAAGAATCTCCAGAGGAAGGAAGCCAGATGCCTTGCGGATCGCCTCAATAGTCAATCGGTCCATTAGTAATGGGCCACCATGACCCAATACTGAATGTGCCCTGCAGCCCAAGCAGAACCACTTTGTTATCTCTGTCTCTGTCTCTGTCTCTCTCTCTCTCTCTCTCTCTCTCTCTCTCTCTCTCTCTCTCTCTCTCTCTCTCTCTCTCTCTCTCTCTCTCTCTNATTGCATCTATGCCCCTGAACCTTGCCACCGAAGATCTCAGTTCCGACCTGGGACTCCACCCCCACTTTCCAAAAATCCTTGGCACACCCCTTTTGCACTTCCAGGCCCACACCCTACTCCCTGTCTCTTATACACATCTAGATGTGTATAAGAGACAGGAGTAAACTGATACAGCAAGCTTAAACCCTTGGGCAATGTAAAGGCATAAGCGTAATGAAATTGTAGATAGTTGTATCAATATGACCCAAAACCGGGTGATCTAGCCATGAGCAGGTTGAAGAGAGTCCTAATGGGCCTTCAAGTGAAGCAACTTTTCAGCGCTTGCCAGCCGCCTCGGCCAGCCCCATGCTGCATGGCTCGATAGACCGTGTAGCCCCATAGCGTAAAGCTGGCAGGAAAGTCGAAGATGTAGTCCATACCATGGAGAAATTCATGGAGAAAGCCATCACATGTTCACTGTTGGTCTAGATGTAGATTCTTTGGAGTCGATTTTTTATTGCCACCAGAAGGAAGGCTATTGCCTTGCAAAAGCTGGCACCTAAACCACCAGCACCTCGCCCAGGCAAACTAGAGAATGGAAATCGAGCAATCCACAGATTTCTGGTGAACAGAGCTACCGGTAGTACCGGACCAAAATGGCTGGTGGCGCCAGCCAGGAAAAGAAAAAAAAAACGCCGCGCAGGCGTTTCCACAAAAGTTTGCCTTGCCCCAGGGGAAATCTGCATCAGCAAAAAGAGGCTCGGAGGTACTGGTGGTCTAGATCACCAGTACTTGGCCCACACCTCGGCCTCGGGCCCCTGACGCTAACGTGCTGCGACTTTCGGGGCCGGGCGGCTGTTGAGAAATCTCATCAATGCCCTTTGTCGCGCTTACAGCATCTGAAAGTCGCGGTGAGGGGCCCGCGTCCAATGTATGGGTCAAGTACTGGTGGTTTAAAGCACTTATATCACCTTTCAAAACCACCCTTGTTAGCCCACCCCTTTTCAGTGGTCTCTTGGATTGATAATCTGACACCCATAGGTTCTTTTCCTGTCGGCAGATCTGGCCAGGGTGTGAAAGGTACCCCCAGACTGTCAATAGCCCGCTGTAGACGCATCCATGTGCGAAGGCATTCATGTTACTTGTGCTATTTAGTATCTACCCTTCCGTGAAGCAGCACCCCAGGGTTCACTGATCATCCCCAATGTCCTGCACTGAGTATCTTCTGCCTCATGGCTAAAACCACGAGTGCCTCCAATGGGCCTGCAGTTCGCATCGTTACGCGAGGGGGCACGGTGCAGTCGAATAGTCGCCAGGTGGCAGATTGACACCACTCTGAAACAAAAACAAACAAACCAAAAACAAGAACTGCAGCTTCTTGAACTGTCAGATGGTAATCATGACAATGACAGTTATGTGGGCAGCTGCAGTGTTTTTCTGCGGCCACCAACCTGAACCGGTGGATTGATTGTGAACTGTGGGGGTGATTCTGATCAATGGCCCCTTTGTTTTTGCACGACTAAGTTTCTTTCCGCAGCCACCTCAGCCTCTGGCAAATGGTATGTGACATTGTGACACCCTTATTAGCACCCTAAACGGGAGATGGCCTCGCCAACAAACATTTAGAACTGCCTTGGTGGGGGACCATACGTCCAGGCTGATTCCGTTCCTCACATTGTATGGAGGCTCTCCTTTGATCGCACATGACCATCCATCCTGCCACTTTCCAACCCAGAAATCAGATTTTGCCATTGTAGGATCCTGTGATTAGTACAGGGCTAATGTGTGCCAGAGTCGACCATACTGGAAGTCGATCCAGCATCCCCTATACAGACAATAGGTCGCAGAGTTGCCCTTAGTCCCTTCAACAGGCAACTGTGGCTGCATGGTACACACATGTAACTGTTTATAAACACGTCATGAGTTCAAATCCGATTTAGTTAAACGGAAGGGCTAACCCCTTTTCAAAGAAAAAAGCAGAGTTGGAGAGAGAGGAAAAAGAGGGGGAGGGAGGGGGGGGGGGGGAAGCTCATGGATGTAGGGTACCTGTATAACGGTGGGTTTGAAAATTGAAAGTTAAAAAAAAAACACAATTCGGTGTGGGAGCCTTGATGACCCGGCTGGTTTATCCAGGCACTGATTATGTGCAACCTCGTTACCCCGAAATCTAGACAATAAAAGTAAAAAGAAAAGAAAAAGTTCAAAAAACTAAACACATTGTTAAAAAACACAGGGCATGCTGCACATCTGAAATACAGCACAAACAGGTCTTTGTTTCATAAAAAGCATATTTGGGGTTCATGGTGTTCAAGAGGGCTATAGACAGGGTTAAGAGGGGCTTAGAGTGGCATACTCTGATTAGTTATGTTTATTTTTCCTTTTTCCTTTCTGTCTTTTCAATCCTACTGGGAATGTCAAGGTGGCCCTGAGCACACACACGCACTCACAGAGGAGATAGAGAGAGAGAAAGGAGAGGCAGAGGAGAGAGGGAGCGAGAGGAAGGAGAGGAGAGGGAGAGAGAGTGAGAGCACACACACACACTCACTCACTCGACATGACTGACGGACTCGACGGAAGCAGACGAAGTAGTGGAGTCTCAAAGTCGAAGTCTTCAATTCTCAATGCTGGAGGGGCAAGTCACAAAAAGCAAACACAGTAGCTGAAAACTGGTTGCCCCATGGTACGGGCGGCCGATGTATATATTGGTTGGCCGTGCCAAACAGGGACCGGGTCTGCAAGGCCCTGGGCGCAAAACTTCACAACGGGGATTTTGGGAGTGGCGCGAAAATGGGGCTGCAGCAGAAAACAACCAAAGGCTGCAGGCGCGCTTGTAGCCCGCAGACCAGGGATCGAGCCCTGACTGGTTTGTAACACCTTTCTCCTTTGCTTTCCCTTCCTGATAACCAAAGTTGTTGTATTCCAGTTGATGTAAGCTCAGTGGTTAGAGCACCGGTTGGAAATGCGCATTGTGGTATGAGGTTGCAGGTTCAAATCCGTAGCCTTGCGCATGGACACCGGCAGGGCGTTAGAATGACGCACGGCTGGACACACACACCCTTGGGATGACGCAGGTTAGCTATTACAGACACTGCCTGCGCACCACCCAAGGGTTGTTCATGGTGTTGTATGTTGGTTCTGGGTTTCACATGGGTTGCTTGGGGGTGTTGTGGTCTCGGGTGTTCTGTTGATCTCCCCAGTCTGGCATATCACACGTTCGTGCCATTTCCACTAGTCGTTCACATGGTAGAGTCGTTCGATTACACATTACAAGGTCACGGGTTCGAGCTTGGTTCGGACCTTGGGGGGTCCTTGTCCAGCTTACCCCGTTCTCTCTTCGATATACACACATGATGCTGCCTATACATGTCAATGCATTGATTCACAGAGCACACACAGCCTTCGGGCATATACATAGCTTGCGAATTATACATGGCCTACGGGATTCATACACAAGTTTCCACACACAGTGCTGTCTGTACATCTTCATACATAGATACACGGAGCATACACAGCCTTCGTGTATCCACATACATTGCGAACTACACAACTATCAGACTGGGGGGGGCTAGTCACTGGGTGGGGTCTAGTATCTGTAGTAGGGACAGGTACGGGCCACCGGAGTTCCTACTGATATTTGGATAGAACTGTCTAGTGGCTATATATCACCTCGCTGGTTCGGTGCATTTTCCATTTTTGCCACTCAGCCATGTGTAATGACCAGCCAAAACACAGACTGAGAACTCTGATGATTTCTGGGTTTTGCCGCTGGAATTTATGCCTTGCTGAGATTCCCGCATTCTGCTGAGTTTTCTAAGTCTGTGTGTGTGCGTGCCTGCTGGTCTGCATGCCTGTCTGAGTGCTTGTCGGCCTGAGTGTGTCTGTGACCCGCAAGGGTACTTGTTCGTTTGGAGGCCCCACAGGGCCGGTACTTACCTGTGGCTGTGACTTTGAGGGTTGCAGCGGGAAAAACACTCGAGTAGCGGGGGTAGGCCCCCGACACTTAGAGCAGTGGGAAAAACACTCAAGTAGCAGGTAGGCTGGTACCACTCAAGTAGTGGTAGACGGGTACTCGAGGCCGAGCAGAAGAAGACAAAAAATTGGCATTTTTAGAGGCCCAGTAGCGGTAGGCTAGACGTAGGCCACTACCAGTCCAAGTGGCCTGTGTCTAGGGCCTGTACGGACGATATCAGACCCTGCAATGATGTTTCCCTCCGAAAGGGAGGAGGTACCGGTTGCTTGGAGGCCGTGCGGCCAGGAAGTCACTGCTCAAGAGGCAAGTAGGCCGCTACATCTTCTGGAGGAGGGAGTAGCTCCTCATTTGCGATGTGCAAGGCTGGGCGACAGTCTGCTTGAGAGGGCAGCCTGGACTCAGAGTGCTGCCTGGGAGGACGATGAGGAGCTGGGCACTCAGCCTGGCTATGGCGAGAAGCCCAGCTTGAGGAGGAGGAAGAAGGGGGCGAAGGAGGAGAGTGGCCAGGTACCTACGTGGCTACGGTGGACACCATCTTCATCACCTTGCTAGGCGCTCATCTGGAAGGCCCCAGTTGGGGTAGTGCCGCACCAAGGAAGCTTTGAGGCAGAGTCAGGCATGGCGGCCTGAAGATCAGCGAGCATAGCTGCTTTGAGTTGTCTTTTGCACAGGAGGCCAGAGCCCTTAGTAGTCCACCATAGCCTTGGCATGTGAGAGGAAGGTGAAGGGAGAAGCCATGGCTATGGTGGACCTATTGTTGTGCTGGCAGTAAGAGGGAACTTCGGATATTGATTCTGGTTCAACCACTCATTGTTATTATTATTATTTGGAAAGAAGGATAAGATTGGTGAAGACAAGCAGGAGGAGGAAGGTGGAGAGAGAAGGGGGATTTGTCATTGGTCTTGCTGGTGTACATCTTCTTCTTC